GTAAGTCAACTCAGAGTTCAGGTTTGAACTCTGAGTTTGTTAAACCGCCTTCTTGAAATAGGCCCCAGATGTCATGTCAGAATGTTTTTAGATCCACACCACTTAATCAACAGACACACACACATTGATTTTCTTCATGTTTTGACTACTGCTATGGTCAGCTGCAAAGCTGGCACCAGAGACGTCACGGTTTGACGTTCCTGTGTAGAATGGGGCTAGCTCAACCCAAAGAGATAAATGTATAGGCCTGTTGTGGTTCAGGGTCTTTCATCCTTCAGCTGCCTGCGTGCATGTTGGGGGGTGCAAGATACCTGAGCATGTAATGTTAATTTTTACCTGTGTTCATGGAATAAATCAGCACTGTTTTGAAGTTACTTGGACTGCCTCGTCTCTCAGAGTTAGCATGGCTAAAAGAATTGGAAGACTACAGTAACTAGAGTCTATAAAAACCAAATCTTACATAATATATTTGATTCAACACATTGTCTAATGATTATCTGACTGATTTACTAATTTCTAACACCCCTTTTGCCACCCGGCCTGTTACAGCAAGGAAATAACTACTACGTGTACATCAGGCATGCACAATGCAGAATGGTGTAAGATTTGATTCTTATAGGTTATAGTTACTTTAGAAGCTTTATTTTTCATTTTAGTTTCCTTTAGTTGCTTTTCAGTTCTTCATTTTCTTTTAGTTATTTTTCATACCTTTATTTTCCTTGCCTATACATATTAAAACTGTATTGATGACTGCCGTATTGTACTGAGTGAAACTTTGGAACTGTATGCTGCAAATTCTGTAGAGACAGGATGTCTGTATTTTCAGGTAACCAGGTGTCTTATTTTACATTTTAACAAAAACCTGTTGGCCTGTTTTGCACCTTCACCTAGACCCGCTTAGCATATTCCAAGTTCTGCTTTGTCATGGGGTATCCTGCAGAGACAGGAGACCACCCATTGTTCAATGTTCATTGATCAAGCTGCAGCCTGAGAAACACACATACACACCTGGTTTAGATCACATTTCAGCAAGCAGGGGTTGACCTACTCACGCCAAATGGCCAATAGGATTATGAAGTGTAAAATATTGTACCTCTGTTCAGGGCAGGCCTAGCCCAAAAAGATAAATGTAATCAGAAAACGTAACTCATGGTTCAAAGAACAGATTTCCTGCATGAGCTTTGCCTCTCTATATATTATTATAACGAACATATATTATTACTCGTAATGTCTTCACTCCATTGTTCAGGGCTTTTTATAGTCGCGTGGCACGCGCCTAACTCTGAGTCAGACAACTCAGAGTTGATTAAACCAACTCTTTTCAGCTGTTCTGAAACCGAAAACACCGAGTTTTCCAACTCTGAGTAAGTCAACTCAGAGTTCAGGTTTGAACTCTGAGTTTGTTAAACCGCCTTCTTGAAATAGGCCCCTGGTTTTTGATGTATCCTGTTGTTGTGCTTGAGTATGTAAACAACATGACTCATTTTCAAGAACCCAGATATGCTAGGTGGAGTACTCTGAAAGATACTGTTGCATGTGTACATCCTATCCAGGTGTCTAAAAGTTCCAGACTATTTGCACAGGTGTGGCTGCAGCATCAGAGTGACTTACCATAAGATCATAAACACAGACAATGATGGCAGCTAAAGCATCTCCCTTCTGGACTGCTGAAGAGACAGAGTTTTATCTTTCAGTAATGAAATAGTTCATTGTTAATTTAGATGGGACAAGAATGCTGACCTCTTCAGATGTGTAGTGGACACCTAGGCTACAGTAGAACAAGTCAAATTGCAGTAGAAAAAAAATGACTATGTGGCCAAACAGCAAGAAGATGGTCTAGTACAGCAACTTTAAAATTCTTCAAAATATTGGATGACATCTTTGTTTACCATTCACTTTCCACTGTAGAGGAGGGAGGAGCTGACATCGGCTTTCTCTGTCCACCCGATATTCCACCAGGCAATACATCAACTTCATGTCACACTAAGTCACATAACATCATGTTTATCCTATGCCGTCCATTTTTACAGTAAGAAAACCAAATACATGCCATTAACAAACATTTTCCTAATGATAAAACATTCATATTGCCAAACATTGAAGAGGCTAAAGATTTAGTAGTCATCAGTATCCAGTCATTGTCATGTATATGGGGATACGTATACCCCGGTTTCTCTGTGTTCCATGTAAACACTATATGTCCAGTATGATCAAAACCAGGATACTCTTAATAGCCAGGACAGTCATGTCCATGTAACCCCACACTCTCTGTGCCACACTGTTGGGCACTTGTCAAACTCATGATGTCTCACAACCAAGTTGACATTTGTTTTTATTTGGCTGTTTACCAGGAAACTCATTGCCATGGTTCACTTTGTTTCAGATTCATACAGTGACACAACATTTGCAAATTTCTTTTTCTTTTGGCTACTGGATAAATCTGCTTCACTCTAACCAGAGCTCTTGTTGTCAGGGCGATCATATCTGTGTTAGCATGAGCTGGTGTAGTAAAAGTGCTAAATCACCTTGAGGCTGTTGTGTTTGTCAGTGTGTGCTGATAGCAGGTCTTTGGTGCACTGGACATCATTGGGCAGCTCCATCTCTGCTAGGTTTGACCCAAACGTCTGTAACATCTGGGCCGTGCTTTTCACTGTTGTGGCAAAGTTCTCTATCGCCTAGGGGAAAAGATCCACATGTGACTCACCATACAGCTGCTGTTAAGTTAAATCTGTGATTCTACAGCCCAGACAAATTCCCAGTGTCTGGCACTGCATGGTTACTCACAGTGCGGTGGTGTATCCACTGACTGTGACAGTACTCCAGGCATCCTCCTAGCTCCTGAGTCAGCTGGCCTTTATCCACATAGCCATGTAGGTCTGACAGAGAGTTCAGCATCACGATCTGCAATTGTATGCAATTTTGATCATGACCTACATTAGCTCAGTTTAGTAAAAAAACTTGCCTTAATTATAGAGAAAATCTAGAATGAGTGATATTGAGTTGCATTATAGGAAGAGTAGGATCCAATGTTTTTAGAGTCTGCCTCATGCTAGTAAGTAAGGTTCAGGATATCTCAGCCTCTGTTGCAACAGTTTTTATGCCATTTTGAGCATGATTTAGTGAAATAATAAATCACTGTGTATCAATTTAAATTCAATGAACTGATAAATGATTTACACCAAAAACACAGCAAGCAGAGAGTTTTATATCTTGTGAAAAATCCAGGGTAGTTCTAGATCCTGAAATTGATTGGAACAAAATCTAAGATAACTCTGCTTTCTTTATACACAGCCCAACAAAGAATCCAAAAGAGAACAAGATACTACTTGAAAGCCAACAAAAAAGCCCTGGGAGTGCGGTTTATTTTTGCATGTTGTATTTTTTCAGCTTTGTTTTTTATTCAATTATATTTGACAGTTTCTGCTGACAACCAGGGAACAAAATGTTTATCGGCTTCACCAGAGTACTGTACAATAAAAACACATAAAACAAAACAATGACTATAAAACAGATAAGGAAATACTGTTGGTAGACCAAAGCTAAAACAAAACAATAAAACAAGCTAGGCCTCGAAAGCCTGCTTAAAGAAGTGGGTCTTTAAGGCCAACTTAAAGGCCACTAGTTCGCTTTCTGCCCGTAGTTCTACCGGCAGAGCATTCCACAGTCTGGGGCCACAAATAGAAAAGGAATGGTCACCCCATTTCTTATAGCGGGATCATGTGACCACCAGCGACACTGTAAATGTAACAACACCTGTATGTGTCATCATCATCATTCCAGTTTCATGTCTATTAGTATTGTAGATTGTACATATGCACAGCTCCAGACCAGACAACGGTGTGCAGTGAGTGTGCCTTTACTAAATCGAGTAAGCAAAACATTATGATTATGATCAAAAGTCTGCTGAGCTGCGGCGGACTGCACAAGCTTATTCAAGATGCCAAACTGACACAATAAAGGGAAATCCCTTAGTGGGCCCTAGGGAAGTACCAGACTGCAGTGTGCCAACGCCAAAGAGAGCCCGGACAGTAAAAACTGTTTCCACAAACATATTTTAGCGTCCACAGCCACAAAGTGGTGTCTGCACATTCCAATATAAGAGCGCCTGTATTTTAATATTAAAAAACCAATAACAAGAAAAAGGCACCAGCTCACGAAACTGATGCTCCTAAGCAGGAGGAGTTTTTCTATTCAGTCCCACTTTTAGCAGCTGAGAGCAGTCTCTTAAATCAAACCATTTATTTCTTCTTTTATGTCATCCTGTTTGGACTACTGTAACTTGGAACTGCAAAATATGAAATACAAGAAGAAAACTCATAACACTTTACTTTTAAAACATAATTCAGTTTGGATCTAAGCTACAAGGTCCACCTCTAAGATTTTACAATTAAGTTTTTTAATAGTAGCCCCTGTTTTATTCACTCTTTTCATGTGTTTTTACTTTTACTGTCTCACAGCTTAACCATAGCATAGCATAAGAAAGATATTATATAAAAAAATTATTATTGAGCATGGGTTTTCATTGTTGGCAAAAACAACAGCAGATTTTACATGGCTGGTATTAAAGAAATCCTCCTGGTACCTTCATTTTAAAGTCGTCCTTGTGCAGCTTGATCCCGATGTCTGCTATAGCCCTGTGGAAGAACCTGGAGGGCCTTAGCACCAACACCAGCTGCAGGTTTCCTGGAAATGCCCCCTAGATAGCACAACTATTTTACTATTTTAAAATCAGCTCAAGACACATCTTTTTAAAATGGCTTTTTGAGTAGTGATTTATTTTTATTTTTTTCATGTAATTTTTGTAGTGGTCTTATTATGCTGTATCAGTACTACTATCAGTAGTACTAAAGTGCTGTGAAGCACTTTGTGACTTTTGATCTAGGAAAGTGCTATATAAATAAACTAGCTTACTAGTACACCCCATCAGTTCATTCACTCATTCATTCAGTAATTTTATTTAACCGAGCTACACTAACCAGCAGGCAAACACTGGGAACACCTGACAGAGACATGTATGACGGCATATGCTTGTTCTGAATGTGTCTTGTGAATATCAAACAATTAAAGGACCAAATTACTACATGAGATTATTCTAAAAAAAAAACAGACACAGTGACAGGTCTGTGGAGTTTGACTAAAGCTCAAATTTTTGAGTCGTACTGTTGGAGAGTCATTGAACTAACACTGGCCTTGTAGCTTAAGACTCACTTCTTTTTAAAACTTTTTAAAATTGCAAAGTCACACATAACAGTGACTCATTATTAATATCACATCACTCTCTTGATGACATATTTACATTAATGACCCTGGACTGTGCAAATATGCAGAGCTAACTGACCTGATAAGTAAGTACTAACAAGGGTGTAGATTTGGTCTGAATATTGGTAGGGACAAAACATATTTTTCCTAACTAAGGGTTGTAGTATAACCAGCAGATGGCCATTGATGTGTGAAGTAATTTTGGTAACACTACACCGGGTAAGAGTAAAGCTATTGAATATTCTTGTAGTAGGCCTCTCTCTTTATGGTGTTGCACTTTGTAGATGGTCCCTGTGACTCGTCTCACAGCTGCTGCACATTGAGACCAGTGTCATTTGTCCAGAGCAGAGGATGGCTCATTTTGTCAAAAGTGAGCTTGTAGCTTGTTGTCTACATTACTACAAAACCTGAGAGGCATTGTTTGTATTTTAGCAATGTTTCTCTTATGACTTATTGATCTGGAAACTTTGAATCTGTGGATATCTTTCCAACTTTACCAAAGTCAGCCACTAAAACACACCATTGTCAGCGCACTGACCGACAGCTGTCGCCTCCTCCATGTCTGGGAGCAACCATGACATTTTCACATAACATGAGCTTTAGATTGCCCCCTCTCTTTCAGTCAGTCAGGCACATCATAACAATCTAATAAGACGTCACCCCAAAGGTAATGCACACAGGTTTGCTCAAATATTGGTAGGGACATTTGTGTTCTCCCAAAATACTGGAAGAGACAAGTTCCTACTGTCCATATACAAAACTATGCCCTTAAGTACTACAATGCAACAGAGTGTGATTTCTACTGCCTACTACCCTGTGTAGGTCCAGAGCTAACACGGAGTCTAAACATAAAGCCAGGTAATAATTTCCCCTGTAAATCTTTAAAAAGTACACCAAAACAACTTCCAATCACTTTTCCATAGTTTTCTAAACCATTGGCACTAAGTCATTTGTCTATAAATAGTTTGTACTTGAAATGGTGCTTGTTTGCAATATCAGATGTACTGTAAACTTGTACTTTTAGTTATATGTACATAATGTATGTATTCATATGGTGAATTCAGTACCAGGTGCCTCAAAGTACTTACAGCAATCCTTGATAAAGAGGCTTTTACTGAGCTCCATTTGTCCTTCCGCCTGTCGATGATGATGATGAACCCAATACTGGCTGCATCCATGCTGCAAACAGGAAGGAGAGATCATATAAACTAGCTCTTTTGGATTGCTTCTTTTTCGTGTATGAGCCTGCTCTCATATTCATATGTTACAGAATCAGATGTGTGAATCAAATTCCTTAAAATTGGAGATTTACGGCTCCTGAACATGCTGAGCTCACAACAGAGAGGATGACAGAGATGAGGCTTAAAGCTAGGACCGATTGTACACCAAGCGTTACATAGCCCTCGTGGATAATGATCAACAATGAAAGCTTTAACTTACAAGAGGGTCACTGCTAACAGTTTAACATACATTGTAATGCAGTGAAATTTTAGCATATCTAGCAATAGTATACTGCATACTAAATAACAGGAGGTTCTTTTGAAAACAGAATTATGCACAGGGAACATACAGACAAGTGACACATGAAAGGAAAACCCAACATAAAGAGTGTCAGTAAGATGCTGGGCCACCCCGTGCCACCAGAACAGCTTCAGTGCACCTTGACTCTCCAAGTCAGTGAACTCTACTGGAGGGATGAACACTACTCTTCCAACAGATATCCCCTCATTTGGTGTTTTGATGATGGTGGTGAAGACGCTGTCTAACAGTTGTCTAATGTTCACGACCTGGTGACTGTGAAGGCCACAGCATCTGATTCACTTCATGTTCATCCTCATCACACCATCCAGTGACCCCTTGTGTACTGTGGACGGGGCCACTGTCAATCTGGGAGAAACCACTCATTTATTCAGGCTTTTCCTTTCATTCGGTTATACTGTTAGGACCAGCTGTTACATAATGCCTCTTAATTGTTTTTTTTTTTATCTTTCACATTTTTTGTGTTAATTTTATCCATTTTTCTATCTCTCACTGACATATTATCTAGGACAACTTACTAGTTAGAGAGAGCTGCTACAGATGCATCACACAATGTAGCACCAATACATAGTGTAAATGATTTCAGTGTCTGACCAGCCCAAGGATCACAATGACTGATTTGTGCTAAGTGATTTAACAATATGAAACTGGATATAAATACTGAAACACAAAAGTATCTGACAGGGTAAGCACTAAAGCCCATTTATTTATTTCAGTTTTGTATTTATAAATTAAGTATTTGTTATGGTTTTGGTTGGACTTCCTGTTTCATGCTTTTATTTTGTAGTCATTTCCTGTCTCTTGCCGCTGCCACTGATTGGCCTTATTTGCCTTCACCTGTTACTCATTTGCTTCTCTGGTCACCCTTTAAATTCACCTCATGTGCGGCAGTTAGTTGCGGGTCTGTCTGTGTTTCTTGCCTTGTGTTTTGCTCATGATTCCTCTCCTGTGTTGTCATTGCCGCCTGTGACTTACCCATCATGCTTTATGAACTACATAGACTTTGGTTGGGTAGTCTCTGCTCTCAGTTTTATTGTGATTACCTCCCTGGCTTTGCTGTTTTATGTTCTCTAGTGTTTTTTCTCAGTCAGCTCTGAGCTTAATTTTTGTCTTGTCTTGTCTTGTTTAGTGTTATGTTGAGCTACCTTCCGAATGTCAGTCACTTTATATTTGGTCATTGTTTCCTGCTCTCGCTTTGAGTTGTGTCTGCATCTGTGTCCTTATTTCACAAAACATTACTGTGTTTAGTCAAAGTACAACCCATTGTTCAAGTTCAGTTAATATTTCAGTAAACAGGGAGTAAACACGAAGGGGGCCCAGTAGATGATTTTGCCCATGGCCCTGTAGTAGACTGGTCTGGTCATGACACTGGACTACAATAAATTTTAATTTATATGGCTTTGTTCCTTTTTTAAGTTGTAGTGAAATAAGTGATGCCATCAATATAAATGGCATAAAAATCCTGAGCTCATGTTCATATATTTCTGAATGTGTGTTTAATGGGATACTGTAATATTGTGGTGCCTGGGAGACTAAATGGAGGTGTTAGACAAGACATGTAACTGATGGCCAATGCGTCGAATGAGGTCTTCCTTCAGCTAATTGGTGACTAAAGGGCAAGACCACAGACAACGCCGGGAGCAACACCAATTCAGTGCAGAACTAATGAAATGGGTGAATATTTCAGCCTTGCTGATTTCTGACAATAGCACCATGGATAATATTTTTGAGATAACCATTTGAGCAGAGAGATGTCAACAATGATGATCAACCCCAGTTAATGGCATTTGGGTGAAAAGGTCTATTATTCATTAAATAAACACTGAGCCAGTGAAGCTCTAACTGTGAGACAGAAATGTAAGCACGTGTCTATCAATATGAAATAAAAGTAAACAAAGCTGTGTGCTGACCAAATACATCTTCCCCTGCTGGTTAACATGTCAGCAGAGGGTGCTGTCTAATCATAAACTCCTATACCAAATCTTGATCTCAGAAATATCATTTCAGAAAGATGTCTCATCCTCAGCAAACATCAGTAGCAGAGCTTCTACACGCCTGAAACTAACGACTACTTCATTTGTGACTACAAGGACCAGTATGACCAGAAAACACTGGAATGTTTTACTGTAGCTCCAAATACTTCTACCATGAAGTGAATGTTGCCCAGATTGGCCTGTGTGTGTGTTATTTATTCATCTCTCACGAGGAAAAGCCATTTCTACCTCCAGTTCACCAGGCCGTGTCTTTATTATTATTATTATTATTATTATCCGTATAATGCCTGGACTGTGGTATTTTTCAATCTCAGCAATGAGGTTTTCTTCATCCACTGTAATTATCCATTAGAAAAACTACAAAGAAGCTAAAAAAAACAAAAAAACAAACCTAACTGACAGAACAAACAGAGGACAGGTTTATCAACATTGTATGGGCATAACGGGTGCAGGTGTGTTGACGTGCATGTTACATGCCTCCAGTTTGTGTTGCCTTTAAAAGTCTGATTATGTGATGATAGCCACTGTGAAAAGAAAGTGTTACAGTGTGTGTATGAGAGTGTGTACCTGGGGATGCTGGTCAGATAAGTAACTACATTGAGGAAGTCTTCCGCTGGCACTTCACTGAAGCCTGAATACTCTGGGAAGGTGATGATGGGGGCACCATCTTTCCCTCGCCCACCTGCAACACAAAACAGGACACAACATTTACTATCCTGCCTTCTAGTATAAACCCCCCCTTACACTGACAATATTATACATTCTGTACACGCTGTATCAGCCTGAAGTGGGATGACGTTATACTGTATGTTTATTCTAAATATCTTGTGCACAGCTTAACTACAAACTACAACACCTTAGGATCTATGCTAGAATTTAAAACAAATCTCTACTGGAACAAAGTTTGCTACATAACGTGAACAGTGATCTGAGGAGGATGAGCAAGGTTTCTAAAACTTTTAGAAATTTAAGAAAGGCAAAAAAACAAAACAAAAAAAATCTATCTCTGAAAGTCAGAGAATTTTATTTTACATGACTTTTGCATTTTCTTGTTTTGGTTGCTTTTCAGCCCAGCTGTAGGAAAAACAAGAGTTGTCTTGTTAAAAACAACAAGGAGCAGTTTAAAGCATAGAAATTAAATAGCACAGAGCATCCTGGAAAATTCTTGAAAATTTGAAAGCACAAATACACTTCTACTGTACTTCCAAAAGAAAGATTGCACTGCCCCCAAGTGGCCCAAAAAAAATCAGCTAATCCAGGTTTGAGAAATGTCTGCTTTTCTCATCTGACTAAATCAGGATAATAATGGCCTCATGCAGGCACCCTTTAACCCTCTAACGCTCTTTAATAGAAATGTTTAACATGCTTGAAGTAGCATAAATAGTGAAGCTGTTATGTAGCAATACATACAATACAGTGCATAGTAATTCTGTATATGAAAGCTGGAGGCTGTGGAGTCTGCAACGTTTTTTTACAAACTCCAGTATTAATGGGGTTTGTGTTTCTGATTAGTTTCACACAGAGGGAGAGATGAGTGAGAGCCACCATGGCTGAGCACCACCTGGACATATTCATGAATAGAAACAAAAACCAGTTAAAATTGTTCCAATAGGATACCCACATCCTACTAAGAAGTCACACACGCTCACAACAGACACACTGAAACCAGGTTATGTTAAAGTTGCATAACTCTGGAGGCAAGTAATACTGAGAGAGAGGTTTTGGAAACATTTGTTATTTTGGCTGTTGTGAGATGAGAAGAAGGAATGAAAAGCATCCCTGGAAAACCACACAGGCTGCTGTGCCACCAGTAACAACGTCTGGAAAGTCTGAGGGCACCCAGAACAAATGCTAGGATTGCAAAACCAAACTTTGAAAAATAAGATGACTTTCCCCCAGCTGGATAAATATGCATAAGTATGGGGCGCCGAATGTAAAAATAACACTTACACTAGTTTTCTCACATTTAGCTGAATGTGACAACAAGTTTTCTCACATTTAGCTAAATGTGAAAAAGTCTAAATGTAAATGTTAAATATAAATGTACATGTTAAATGTAAATGTAGATGTTAAATGTTAAATATAAATGTTAAATGTAAATGTTAAATGTTAAATGTAAATGTTAAATGTCTCACCAAGTGTAAAACTGAATATTTAGTCGCTCCACAGCCTTGCCCTATTACATCGCAGCACACAGCCCCGCCCATGATGCTGAACTCGAATCAGTGATAATGACTCAAAGACCTCAAACACAGCCCCGCCCATGATGCTGAACTCGAATCAGTGATAATGACTCAAAGACCTCAAACACAGCCCCGCCCACACCTGACTCTGTAACATTTACATTTACATTTAACATTTATATTTAACATTTACATTTAACATTTACATTTATATTTAACATTTACACTTAGACTTTTTCACATTTAGCTAAATGTGAGAAAACTTGTTGTCACATTCATCTAAATGTGAGAAAACTAGTGTAAGTGTTATTTTTACATTCGGCGCCCCATACATAAGAGTGTTCCTCAGTACAATATGAACTCTTATTTCATACTTTTTCAGACAGTAAGATATGCCTGTGTGACAGCAGCTGTGGTATGTGTGGTGTACCCTCTGAAGGTCTCAGATCAACCGTTATACATCCATTAGGCCAGTCTGCTGAGATTAACTATCCAGTCAACAAATGCTTCTGCATCACAGTTTAAGGCATAAGTTCACACAACATTGGGGTAGAGTATTTATTCTTCAGTTTTTGATTGTGTGAGTTTATTTTTGCAGGTTATAAACCAAAGTATTGCCCAAATTACAGTTTTTGCCTGACGATGGTACTAGAGGAATAATTATAAGTGCAGTGACTAAGGATTTTCACATTGTCTAATAAATACAGTGGATATGCGATAGGACATGGTGTCTCTCAGCTATACTAGCCCCTCCATGGCAAGCTGCCTACAGCCCTTGTTATTCCTGCTTCTCCACCCTTGGTTTTGATGGTCAGTCCTGACATTAGCCTCACGTGCCAACTAGCGAGGGTTCCAAAAAGTGTTTTACAAACGTGAGGCATCATTTTCAGCCACTGACTGAACGTGTTTTTAGCCCATTTAAAAAATAAATCATGTGATTTCACATTTGCATGTAACTTCTTGTTTTGTGGTAATAACCTGGTGTCTTTCTAGAAGTGCAACTATTAATGTAACATACCTGAGAGCAAGGCAAATTTTCGATGCAGCTGCTCTATGATGTCTACAGCCAGCAGGGGCCTGATCTCCTGCTGCATGATCTCATCTGCAAGGAAGGACACAAAGATCAGACTGTTCATAAATTCCAGACAGTCAGTGCAGGCACACACACATCCAAATGCACACAGTGAAAGTTAAATGCTGAAGAGTATAAATTAATAAGAAAGTGTAATCAGACAAGGTCGCATACATACCCTATAGGTAGGGGTAAATAAATAAAAAATGGCACTGGAGAAAAGGTCACAAACCCAGGAAAACACACTGAGGAATTATCAAGGTTAACAAAATGGTAAAGCATGCACAAAAATAGGGATGGAGAAGAAGATCAAGGAAATGTTCTCAAGCCAGCAACATATGGAACAGGAGGGTCATGTAACCAGAGCCACATATTTAAGCAGAGAGGATGTTCTGTATTGTTGGAACATCAAAGCAGGATGGTGTGG